TGATGCCATTGTTATCACAAAAATCTGGAAAGCCACAAAAACGAAATTCAGTACTATTATCACTTCTAATTTTGATAATCTTCAAGCCAACCAAGTTCTGAACTTTAGCAAACAGTGACCAAAGTTCTTGAAAGCATCATCTTTATGTGCAAGAAACATTACCCATGTATATCTGGAATAATCATCAACAACAACAAAACAGAATCTCTTATCACCAAGACTTGTAGTTTGTGTAGGACCAAACAGATCAAGATGTAAAAGTTCTAGTGCTTTTGAAGTAGAAACACACTTCTTGGGTTTAAAAGATACCTTGACTTGTTTTTCAAATTGGCAAGCATCATATATCCGGTCCTTTTCAAATCTGATTTTTGGGAGACCTCTAACAAGATCTTTTTTAGAAATTTCTTTTAGCAAATCCATATCGAAGTGACAAAGCCTTTTATGCCACAACCATGGGTCCTCATTTGCAACTTTGAGACATTTGAGATAGGAGGAATCAATTTTTTCAAGGACAACTACATAGATATCATTAACTCTTTTTCCTTTGAAAACAATATTGAACTTTGAGTCAGAAATGAGACATTCAAGTTTCTTGAACAGTACCAGCAGATTCCTATCACACAGTTGGCTAACACTTAATAAATTGTAGTTCAAATTGTTAACAAGAAGAATATTGTGGATAAAGGTTTGACCATTCTTACCAACATCACCAATACCAACAGTTTTGACTTGGTTATCATATCCAAACGTTACCTTTCCACTTGCTTTTTGCTTGAGTTTAATGAAGTGAGATGCATCACCCGTCATATGTTTTGAACATCCACTATCAATAAATCATTTTGATTCTTTAGCAGTAGTATTCAGGTTCACCTACACACAAAACCACAAGATAATACTTGGTACCCTTTACATGTTGGGTCCTTGAGAGTTAGCATTATGTCTAACCATCCACATACATCTCATGCTATTTTTCATGTTTTTCTTAACATAGCAGTTGCTATTCATGTGACCAAAGTGGCAACAGAAATTACATACTGACATTGGATCAATCAAACGAATTGGTTTAATGAATCTGACTTGCCTTCTCCTATGGATAGCAAACTCATTTGCGTTTTGATTCAGTTTTATTTGATGAGAGTTAAGATGAGGTTTAATGTCATTCTTTTGAAGACAGTTCTGTTTCATATGATGTAACAATTTGCATAAGTCATCCATCCTTTTTCTTAGACAACATTGTTCACTTTTGAGTGTGTCACAAAAATTTTTCTTTTTGTTGAGTTCAGCAAGCACATCAGTTTCAGTTCTTTTCAAGTTTTCATTTTCATGCTTAAGACACTTGTTTTGTCGAAAAAGATTTGCATTGTCTTGAATCAGAAAATTAATTTTCTATTTTAGTTCTTTGTTTTTAATATAAGATTCTTTCAAATTATTAACATCATCATCAGATTCATTGTCACTATCAGTTTGGTAAGTACAAGAGGTTATCTCATCATCACCAATGGCCATGAAAGCCACTTGAGTAGATTCCTCTTCTTCCTCAACTTCACCTTCTGAGTTGCAATCATTCCAGGTGATCTAGAAATTGTTGAACTTTGGTTTTCGTTCAACCTTGTTCTCCTTCTTTTTCTTTATTGGACACTCATTTGCATAGTATCCTGATTGACCACATTCGAAACACTTATCAGTCTGCTTCTTGTTGAACTCCAGTTTCCCTTTGTTTCTAAAGTCATTAGACTGATTTGGGAAGGAATTGCTAGATCCACCTTTCCTGAATTTTCTCTTGTTAAGTATTCTTTTGAAATCTCGTGTGATGAGTGCAATATCACTGTCATCACCTTCCAAATCATTTTCATCCTGTGAAATTGTTTCATCTTCGTCTTGTGATGCTTTCAGAGCAATATTCTTTCTTGCCTTGGTGTCTTCTTCATCCTGCATCTTAGATTTAAGTTTTAGTTCATAAGAGATTAGAGAGTTAATCAGAGATTCAATGGATAAAGTATTCAGATCTTTAGCTTCCTCGATGGCGGTCACTTTGCTCTCCCAGTCCTTTGATAGAGCATTCAGAATTTTTTAGTTCTTTTCACCTAGAGAATACTCCTTCTCAAGCACCTCTAAATCTTTGATCAGATCATTAAATCTGCAATACATTTTATCAATATTTTCATGAAACTCCATCTTGAAAGATTCATACTTGGTAACCAGAATGGATTTCTTTTGCTCTCTCATATTTTCGCTTTCTTCGTGGATCTCTCTAAACTTATCCCAAATTTCTTTTGCAGATCTGCAGCCTTTGACTCTAATGGACTCATTTGACTCTAATACACTGTATAGAACATTCATAGCCTTAGCATTTAGAGTGAGATGAGTTCTATCTTCAGCAGTCAACTCATTTCTGGTTTTTTGTCTCAGCCTATAGGTAATTTCATCAACAACAGTCGCGTCATATGGACCTTCACTAACAATAAACCACAATTCAATATCAATGGATTGTAAGAATATAATCATCCTTTCCTTCCAACTCACATAGTTTAACCCATTGAACATTGGAGGTCTAGTGACAGATTGTCCCTCAAAGAACATGGCATTGTTGGTTCTCATTTTTACTCCCAAGCTGATTGAGCTTAATCTCTATGAGTCCAAACTCTGATACCAATTGTAAGGATCGAAGACAACCTAAGAGGGGGGTGAATTAGGTTTTCTAAAACCAGATAAGATATAGGTCACTTTTTTTCTGGCCTGCCCTTCTTTTCTCGAAGATCACTCAATGGATCAGATTACAAGATAGCTCAGTTGTTCGTGAGATGAAGAGATGAACAGTTTATAGAGTAGAGCTGTAAACAGAAGTAGAGAGACAAACCAGGTTTCAAACTCCACTTGAGTTTGAAATACACTTTATATAACAAGTTACTTCAGGTTGAACAGACTTGCAACCAATATCTTGTGTACAAGGGAAGAATCACTTCTTTCTTGTCCCAAACCACACTTGGTCAAGCAAGAAAGTTTTACAAATACTCAGATAACCCTCACAATGCTACACTATTGAAGAAGCTATATCACACCTGAAAAGTTACAATAAAATTGCACAAGTTGAGAATACAAGAGTTCCTTTTGAGTATTCTAACACTAGAATCACTCACGATTTGATGTAGACTTGATGTACAAAGTTACTCTGAGGTGGTTGACTTTTTTCCTTTTAAAGGAGATCAAGAAATTCTTCAATTAATGTTGTCAACGGATAGAAGGCAACTGAAGAGTCAACTAGCCGTTGGTGCTATCGAACGTCCGATATTCAATTTTTATGCGTCCGAACGAGATCAATGAGTTTTAGAAGTTTTCTTGAATTTCTTAGGATGTCCGATCCCCTATCACCATGCGTCCGAGGGTAAGATGCACACTTGGAAGTTCCTCTTCAATTCCTTCGGACGGCCGATGCGTCCAATGTGTTGCGTCCGAAGTACAGCAACGCTTGTCAGACGTCCGATACTCAGGTGTTGAGCGTCCGATCGTGATCAGTAATCGTAGAAGCCCTGGCTTGTCTTCTTCAGAAGTCCGAGTCTGAGTTCTTCACACGTCCGAAGTTACTCAAAGGATGTCGGACGTCCGATACTCTCTTTTTGTGCGTCTGACATCTTCCTTAGCACTTTTCATCCTTTTTTATCTTCTTTTTGCTTTAAATCCACTGACCTGTTTAGTGTCATTTCTGAAAAGGGTCTTTACAAAAAGTATTAGTAACATCCATTTGTTTTGTAATCATCAAAAGATATGAATTGAGATAAACAACCGGCTTGAAGCGAGAATCCACGTTGAGGTGGTGGACGGCCAGGTCAGTCAGAATCCCGGGCATGTCTTCAACCATCCATGCGAAGACCTGGGAGTATTCCCTTAACAGGGCCTTTAAACCCTCCTTCTCCTCGGAAGATAGCGACGAGCCAATGCGGAGGACCTGATCGGGCCGGTTCTCCCTCAAGGGGAACTCCTCAGTCTCGTCCTGGGTGCCCAACTGTTAGGCCTCCTCCCCCGAGATGTAGGACTCCAGGCTGGTCGCCTGTGCGACCACCTTCTCCTATCCCCGGAGCATGACCAAGTAGCAGGCTTTAACCACTTCTGGAACTCCATGTACCTCGGTTATTCCCCCTGGGGTGGGGAATTTGACGCTGAGGTGGAGCGAAAAGGGAATAGCCCGGAGGACGTTCAAAACGAGCCGACCCAAGAACACGTTGTACGGGGATGGTTGCTTGACCACCACGAAATTGACAGGGATGGTTCGGTACTTGGGGGCCTGCCCTACCGTGACCATCAGGGTGATCATCCCCTCTGGGTTGATAGGCGGCCCGATGAAGCCCATTAGGGGTGTTCGAGGTGGGGTCAACTGTCCGTCCTCTAGACCGAACTCTTTGAACACCCTGTAAAATAAGATGTCCACCGCGCTCCCTTGGTCGACGTACACCTTTTTCACCCGATAGTTATTGGTGACGTCTATCACGATGGCCTCGTGGTTCCCGAACGCTAGGGGAATCGCATCCTTGGACCGAAGGTGATCTCTTCGTCCATGCGCAACCGCTTCAGGGAATCATCCCCCTCGGGAGGAGGTCACCTGTTCTTCCGAACTGCATGACTGTCCCCCCCTGTGGGACCCCCAGCGATGGTGTTTATCACCCCTACTAGATTCTGGATGTCCTGGTCAAGGGAGCTTCCCAGAGGAACGTCGCACCGCTCAGGGCGGTCGCGACGCTGGCCCTCGCCCCTGTCTCCACGGTAGGTGCGTCCGGGCTCCTGGTCTGGACTATCTTGCCGCACGAATCGTCCCAAGAAGTCGCGCTGGATCAGATCCTAGATATCCCTCCGCAAGGCCCTGCACCCCTCCATGTCGTGCCCGACGTCACGGTGAAAGGCACAGTACCGGTCCTGATTCCGTTTGTTGCGAGGCGTCCCCATCTTAGGCGGCCGTTCTCCCAGATCCTCCGCCTCCATGACGGCTAGGATCTGGGATCGGGGCCGAGTCAGGGGGTGTAGCCTTTCTCCGGAAGCAGTGGCGGAGCGGGGGTTTTCTCCTTCGAGAGTTGGTCAAAAACGTTCTTCTTGGCCGGACCATCCTTGTTCTCGGGGCTGTTTCCCCGTTCTCTCCGATCTCCGAGCTCCCGATCTGACTCTCTCTTCAGGCGAGCCGCCTCCTCTGCATTAGCGGCCGCGTGCGACCTAGTCAAGAACTCCTCCAGGTCTCCGGGAGGCTTCTCGGTTAGTTTGTAGAAGAGCTCCTCTGCCCTGAACCCATTCGTGAAGGCGGCCATGACCACCTTTTCATCCTTGTCCCTGATCTGCAGGCTCTTCGTGTTGAAACGGGTCATGAAATTCCTCAGTGACTCGTCCGACTTCTGCCTGATCGCCATCAGGTGGATCGCGTTTTTCGAATAAGTCTTTGAAGAGACGAATTGGGCGACGAACTGCCTGACCAGTTCGGGGAAATTTCGTATGGACCCCGGTGCCAGACCCTGGAACCAGAGCCGAACCTTTTCCTTCAGAAACATGGGGAAGGTTTTGCAGCGGATTTCATCCGCGACGGTTTGCAGACGCATGTGCGTCAGAAAGACCGAGAGGTGGTCTTCCAGGTCGGTTGAAGGGTTATACAGCTCAATGTTCGGGATCTTGAACCTCTGGGGCAGTGGGTAGTCCTCTATCTCCGGGTAAAGGGCGAGGTGGTATAGTTGTCCTCGTACAATTGCGGCCGCAAGATCTGCTCGAGTTCGTCTCGAACAGGCTTCCACGGGGAAAGATTGCGCGGCCGGCTCTTGACAGATCGGTCAGAGGAGCGTTCAGGCTCGTTCCGCGCAGGCCTCCGCGGGGAGCGGTTTCTCGGTCTACTCCCCACAGACCGGTCGTGGGAGTACCTCTCGCTATCTCCGACCACTGAGACTCACGGGCGAGGGGGAGTCCGTGGCCGTTTCCTTCTGGAGGGGCTGGTCCCGTGACTCATCCTTCGAGGGGTCGGGGGTGATTCTTTCTCCTTCCTCTTCGTCTTGGAGATCTGTGCACCTTCGGTTTCGCCTCCCTCCTTCACTTGTCGGATCATGTCTTCCAGCATGGGGAAGTTCTCCGACACAAACTGAAGGATCTTTTGTCTCCGTTCCCCTGAAAGGGCTGAGTCCCAGGCGTCCCGTGCAGCCTCGGTCTCCCTTCGCCAGGATCCCTCGCCAGCTCCGGGATCGGTGGTCTCCACGGTTCGCTTGGAACGCGTTCTTGCCATCAACACAACTACACTTTACCTTTCGGTTCCCCCAGACGGCGCCAACTGAAAAAGCGCTGAGATTCCCCTGACCGAGCTGACCTGATGAGCTCGGCGTGCTGATGAAAAGAGCGTGTCCCAAGCCTGCAAAGCAAACAAGAGAGTGGTCTAACCAGGGGGTCCCGAGGTTGTCCCCGAGAGCACTCCGATGGTTAAGTGAGTTTTCCGGTAAGGGAAGTTCTCGGGAAATAAAGAGTCGAGAGTAGTATGTTGATAATGAGCGTACCTTGTGTAGTTGGTGTGCGTTACCATTTATACCTGCTTGTGAGTCCGACCTCCGTATGTTTCGGGACCGGCCCGAGATAACCTCAATCCCGCGCTAAGGGGGATTCTCCCCGCCCTCTGTGGGATTGTTTCCTAGAACCTCTCGGAGCCCTAGTGGTGGTGTGCCCCAGGACGGTTGTCAGGAGCCTGGGGCCGAGGCCCAACTCCGACCTTCCTGAGCTGCCACGTGCTTAGGCTCAGGACGGGGCCTCTGCAATAGGATCAATACAAATAATTATAATTCGTTAACAGCACAAGTAGAGATATTTGGATCTCTATGTATGGGGCTACAACATATAAAGCAGTGAAACTTGAATTGGAACAATTCTAGCCAAGAAGTTGGAGGGCCATTTTACACGATATTCCACCTTATACAATTACTGCATTGATTAATAAAAAAGTTTACATGAGGTAAGAATTTCAGTCTCTAATGAGTTAGATCTCGCTTGAGAGTTTAAGAAAGAAAAAGTATAAGTTAAAACTCCATGTTTAAATTTCTCTCAATTAAATTCTCTAGCATATTTTATTCTTTTTGAATTCCAGGAACCAAAAGTTTTAGGTTGTGATCAATTAAAAGTCTTGGATTCAAGTTTCATTAAATGTAAATTTTTATCTAACTTTATGTTAGTTATCATCTCACTATCTATGCATTAGTTTGTATTCTTGTTTTGTTAATCACATAGGCCCTAATTAATAACATAATCAGCATTTAAATTTAATTGGTTCAGATCTAAATATGTTCAGATGCATTTGATAACTAAAAATTGAATATCTAAATTAATTAAGTGATACTGAATTTTTTAAGTAAAATTTGCTTCAAAGAATAAGTGATAAGTTATTCACTTATCGCTTAATATAATATGTACTCAAATGTATTAGATTTAGTACTTAACAATTCATTAATTTAATATATTCAAACTTCATATTTCAAACTTCAGTTTTATCAAACGCAAACCTTAATTGTTGGCTGTAATCAATTTGTATTGATCCCACCATTGTGGGTTACATGTACTCTCACTTTAAAAAAAAAAAAACAACTTTTTTCCGTTGTTTTATTCCTTGCCTTTCTTTTGGAGTTTTTCCTAGTCCTTTTATTTTCATTTTTACTTATTTATTTCCTTGTTTCAAGTGTTATCTCCAAGCGATAGTCTCCAAAAAAGTTGATCCTTAAAGGTTAAGAACGAAGATGTTGTAATGCTCAAAGCATTAAAAATGCAAACACTTGAAAATAAAGAATGAAACTAAAACTACAAGTCACTTTTTTATTTTCTAATCATCTTTTTTTATGTTAAAATGGTACATTATATATCAGAAAGTGTTACACTATGATTTTTTTTTTTTTTAAAAAAAAAGCAAACAAAATCTAAATGCTAATTTTTTATTTTAACTATAGTGATACAGTCTAACTTATTGACAAAAAGAATTTTTCATTTTTCGTTTTTCAACATTCTAATGTTAATCTTCTCAAACAAAATTTTCAACTCAAATTAATATTTCGTTCAACTTATTCATCCTCTGGCTAAAAACATCTAACACGTCAAAAGTGAAACGGCAGAAATGTCAACTTATTAGTGTATTTCTAATAAAAAAAATTTTTAATTTTTTTAAAAAAGCCAAGAGAGAGAGAGAGAGAGAGAGGAGTTGTGACTTGCAAGTAGTAGTAGCACTTAGCAGTGGGGCAAAACAAGGAAATAACATGACTTCAAGTAGGGCTGTCAACGGGTCGGGTCCGGGCCGGAATTCATTATTTCGGATCCGGACCCGAATTACTATTCCGGACCCGGACCCGACCCGTTTACCCGACGGGTCTTTTATTCTATGTTCCGGATCCGGATCCGGCGGGTCCCGGATCCGGATCCGGGTCTACCCGAACAAATTTAGCAAAATTTATAATTTCTAATAAAAATGAAAAAAAAATATATTTGTAAACTAATTTTTAACTAATGCAAAGAAAAAACCAAATAAGAAAAGAAATCAAATTAACTTTATTAAAATACATCACTCTAATCAAATTATATTGATAAATAAATATATTTAAAATTATTAATTCATTTATATCCGGATCCGGGTCTAATACGGGCCGGAATACTATATTCCGTATCCGACCCGTTTTTTTGTTTGACAAAACGGATCCGGATCCGAATCCGAAAAACGGAATTAAATCCCTACCCATACCCGCAATAATTTCACGGATCCGGTCCGGATCCGGGTCTAGACCCGACCCGAAATAATTTTATTTTTTTTTTTTTTCAATTTTCCGATCTTAATTTTCCAAAGCTACAATAAGCTGAGCTGAAGAGTGAGAGAGGTTGGATAAAGTCATAAACCCTGTGTTTCTCAGCTCGCCATCGGCTCCTTTTCACTCCACTCTCCCCGCTCCCAACTCCCATGAATCCACGCTCTTTCTCCATTTAGGTAAAATTTCTGTTTCGATTTATCTTTCTTACTGTGTGTGTTCGTGTGGTAGTGTGTGAATTTCTGTATACCACTATAATCTTACAGGTATATACAGGGTTTCTAATAGCAGACAAGTGTGCAAATTTTTTTTTTATAACCTGTATTTTGGGATTTTTGGACTTGTTCTTTACTGGGTTTTGGATTTTGACTGACGGGTTTTGAGTTTTACGGGGATTTTTTTTGGGGGGTTAAATATTGTATTATATTTGCAGAAATTGGCAAAGATTGTACATTCTTGTTAAATGTGTGAAAATTTTGGCTGTTTGTTTTTTACGAAATATTGTGCTTCTCTTATTTTGCATTGTAATTAGTATGGAAAGATAGGATCAGGACTGGTAATTCATATTTGTGGTTTTGGGATTATCATATTCGGGGAAATTCAACCAAAAATGGTTTTTTTGTTTACTTTGTTTTGAGATTATTCTGTGACTTTTCTGGAAATGCAGACATAAAATGCTTAGACAGAAAGTCATTTGGGAAGCCTGAAAATGCATTAGATGAGGATATTGTTTGCCCAATTTACGTATTAGACCCAGCCCGTGGAAGATTTGTTTGAGGCTCAGCTGCATAGCTCATTGATTTAGCCATTGGGTTTTGGACCTTTGGTAATCACGGTTGATATGAATAAAAATGCTTGCAATGAATTATTGGAATGTAGTAAATTTTCAAGTACAATCTTCAAAACTAGATGGATATGCACCCACTTTTCCTTAATGTTTTGAAAAGCTCTGGTAATCACTATTGTGAAAAGTGACGGAGTGAATCGTCAGTAGAAGGTATTGAAAGGTGGATGAGTTTTTGATCCTGCTTCAAAGTTTTAAGTTGTTGTAATATCTATTAAGAGTTTGTGAAGGCATCTACTTAGGATCTACATGTGGTGCACACGCACAATTATCTGTTCTTCCCTTCTAGTGACCTTTCAGTCCAAAGTGCTCAATTTTCTAAGTATTCTTCTGTGATTTATTAAGCAGTCTTCTTTTATGGGTTTACTTGGAGGTTTATGTGCGTCAATTTCTTGTTACTGTAGTAATATCATGAGAAAAGAAAAGTCTTCCACTTTGCTTCTATTTTTCTGATTTTGAATTTAATTTTCATTTTTTCTGTCATATTGAAGTGTGTGAAATGTTTTCACTTTCTTGATTGTAGACCTTTACAAGGTAACTGAATATGATTTTAGATGGATGCCGTTTGAACCCTGGAGATGCTTCTATGCCTTACATGGCATGTAATCTGAAGTCTTATAGGTTAGCATCTTCAGGCATCCCTTGTTTGTCTCCCAACGTTGTATTAGCGAGTGCTGGAAGTTCTTGGGCTCCTCATCACAACCGTATATCCTGCTCGAAAGGTGTGTCTGTCTATCTTTTGAGGGTTATTTATCATCCATCCTTGTCGCTTATAAACATATACGTAGAGTATTATCTCTATCCTATTTATTTTGATATAAAACCAGTTGGCTCCTGTGCTTTGTGTTGCTGATGTTTAGGTAAAGGAATTGTTTATTTCTCAGTTATGTAATTTTTCTTAGTTGTCCTTTTCTCATATATCTTAAAGGGCCTCTGTAGCTGGATGGCCCTCTTAAGTTTCTGTATAGATTTGAGTTCATATTTTTCGAACAAGATATAGTCTTGCCGTCTTTATGAATTGAACTGTGGGGGAAAAGTTTTTCTTACTACCTATCAACTTTACTGGATTGAAGTGGAAGTAGAACTAGATGCGATTAAAGTCATTGCCATCTCAAGTAATTCTGCTTCGCTGTTGTTTGCCCATGTCCAAACAATTTAGTACACCAGCGATCAAAGTCTACATGCTTGTGCACTTTGGTGTTGACCACCTGAAGGGAGCAATTAGAAAACAAATAGTATGTTGCTATTGCATTATAAGACAGATCAGGTTAGAATTTAATGGTACATATGGACTATGGGCTTTTCGTGTGCAGAATCTCTCCAGAAAACTACCATTGATATTCTGAAAATATGGTGGCCAATTGTTCAAATGATTTTGGAGCCCTTGAATTTTTGTTTTGGCAGCCATCCTCTTTGCTTTCGTCCTTAATTGTGGAATATTTTTGCCTTATCTTAGCTATATCAGATGTTTTTAATTCTATTATAGTTTTCATCTCTATTAATCATTTTCTTAAATATTGTTCTGATTGGTCATTTCAGGAATTCAGATTCTCAGTCTTTCTTTTGCTTCATCACCACTGTTAAATAGTGAACTAGGTGGGCTATCACATGCTGTACCTAGGTTACCTAAGCGCCGCCAGTTTTTTCGACCTCCAAGGGCAGCAAAGGATGATGTTCCTTACAGCTATAGATACCCTTCTATGACCAAGAAGCCCAGGTGGTGGTGGAGAACTTTGGCATGCCTCCCTTATCTGATGCCTCTACATGAAACATGGATGTATGCTGAGACGGCATATCATCTACATCCCTTCTTGGAGGATTTTGAGTTTTTAACATACCCTTTTTTGGGAGCCATAGGGAGGTTGCCAAGTTGGTTTCTGATGGCATATTTTTTCGTTGCATATCTAGGAGTTGTTAGGAGAAAAGAGTGGCCTCATTTCTTCAGATTCCATGTGGTGATGGGCATGCTTCTTGAGATAGCTCTGCAGGTTATTGGCACTGTGAGCCGCTGGATGCCTCTTTCTGTATACTGGGGAAAGATTGGAATGCACTTTTGGACTGCTGTTGCATTTGCTTACCTGTTTACGGTTTTAGAGTCCATGAGGTGTGCCCTTGCTGGAATGTATGCTGACATTCCATTTGTATGCGATGCGGCATACATTCAAATTCCATATGACTAAAGAAAGGCCTTGAAGGATGACTATTAGTTTCCTTTTCTGATGGAACATTTAAGACATCGGCGATGTGGATATTGATCTATCATGGATTGAACCTGAAAGTTCTGATGTTTAATTTGCATTTCTCTTTTACAATTTTGGCTTTTGGAGATAGCTTTGGACCTCATTTAATTAAATTTTGTACCGTCTCTTATTATACATGTATGTCTTGGGAGAATATGTAATGGGCATGAACAAGCAAAAGCTTAGGATGTTTTTCGGCTTTTGGAAATCAGATCACCCTATCTTCATTGTTGTTGTTTCAACTGAAAGTTCGCCGTAAAATGGTGAGGTAAATTATTTTAGGGTAGCTCTTCTTCCCTATTAAATTTTTTGTATTATAAGGTTTTCTTTTTGCATTCATGGCTACCCTTCAGCCACAGCCCCTTTAGCTGGTCTTTTGCCGACTTTCTTGGTGACTCTCTGGTGCTTTCTCCCTTGCGGATAAACAGACTTCCAAACGCAAAGGGGTGCCTGCAGTTTTTTTGTCTAAAGATGAAACCCTGAAGCTAGCAGCGCAAGACTCTGGAGTAGGAAACAATTAAAGTCTAGAGTTGGACCTTCTTTGGTTGATGATGCATTGGCTTCTCCATCCTATTAGTATGAGCGGAGTTGAAGGACACATTTGAACCAATGGGGTTCGTGATACAAACAAGAGGATTGATGATATTCAAGCTGCCCCTTTCTCTACTTGGACACCTTTTGTTAGGAAGCCACTGGGTGAGATTGGTGCAGATACTTTGGAGCAAGGTCAAATTTGCGATTCTCCCACTTCTTTCTTGGATTCAAATGATCTTGATTTAGATAAATGTCTAGCAGAGCTAAAGTTCAACAGCAAGACATAATTGGATGCCCCATCCAAGGAATTCAATGATGCGTAAATGAACATTTTGAGGTAAAAAAAAAAAAAGAACAAAAACAGAGTAGACAATGTCAGAAAGGACAAGAAGTGTGCAAGAGTAAGCACAAGCACAAATGAAGTGGCTGAATTGTATTCCTGAACCTTCCTCTTTTCCATTTCATGGTAGCAAGCCCAAATGACAACTTGACAAAAAATCTTAAAAATCTTGAAGTTGTTTGCCTGTTTTGGTATCATGCGGCGAGGCCGGCCTCCAGGGCTCTCCAGCATGGCTGCATTTGAAATCAACCAAATAAAATTCAAGTTGTACAAGACTCTCTGGCAGTTGTACATGCTTTTTGTCTAGGCAGCACAGTAATGACATTTGAGTCAGTAAAAAGCCCGTCACTGACTATTTAGTATTTACAGGCACAACATATTTTATTTAGGGAATAACATCAAACAGTCATCAAGGTTTTCGGTAAGAGACTTGTAAAAAGACAGGAAGACAGGAAGAGGGGGGGAGAAGCACTACAGATTTGCCAAATAGGTTTATCAACTTGTCTTCTAGATTTTAACTTTCAATTTCGTGATGGATGGATGATGCATCAGAGGGAAGTCAGGAAGATTGTGGGAAGATCATTAGCTTCATGGTCCAAGTGAGAAAAAATTTCTAGTTCTTCATTTCCCTCATCAATTATATCTTCATCTGTTTTGAAGTATGGCCTGCATTTCCTTTCTTCCTTTCTCAGTCAAATTGCATACTCACAAAGGATTCTTAAAAAAATGAGAGAGAATGCAAACGAAGCATGTGCCGCTATTCATAATCCTCTTCTTTCCTTGATGGAAGAAAGGAAACTGTACAAAATTTATCTGTTTTCTACGTCACAAAAATTGTGCCTTGCTATATCATATATATAAAAAACTACTACTGTTCTCTAAATTTACATGCCAGTGCTGCTAACTCATGTTTTTACTCAAGCAAGAGGTCAGATCAATGAACTTGTCTTCTCTGCAAGGGATTGTCAAACCCCCCATTGGATGATCAAAGCCAAATTCTTCCTCAGCTTGACTCAACAATTCTTGGAATGTAGGCTGATTCAGGTAAGCTATGGGAATCACAAAGCGCTTCTTTTCGCTTTCTCCAACGTAAACTGCAATATAGCCCTTCGAAACATCCTTGGAAGATGGTCTAAGGCTTTGCTTAGCTTGAATAATACGAGGCAGACGGATGGCCATCACTTTGCTGGGGATGCTTTCTCGTATAGCTTGGTTGAAGAAAAAGAAAGGTAGGAAACTTGCAAGAGAAAAAAGAAAAGCTTTGGATCAGTGTTTTGATAGCTTATGTTTAACAGACAAGTTGGAAGGGTATATATAGAAGAATCACAAGTTTTTTTTTTTTATCTTGATGATATGTATGTGGTGAAGACTAAAGAGACATTTTCGTGGACATTAGAGATAATAGCTGATGAGGTATCACATGGTTATGCCTTCCTACTCACGCTGATCAAGAATGCAGAACCATGTACTCATTGAAGCTTATCAGGGCCTACCACTTCCTTCAACAAGAAACAGAGAGGACCACTTCAGAAATTAAAAAATATCAAGACAGGGGAGTGAGCATTCAATGATTGCATAGCAGACATTGTAGCTGTAAAGCTTTTTTTGGCAGTTAAATCCCTATTTTCATCTCCAAGTAACTTGCGAGTTTTGGAAACAATGAAGGGTTAAAATTACTAGCTACCTAATGGAATACGAGCTTATTCATGTTCCTTCTAAGGTTGATTTATTCAAGTTTTACCTGTTGTTGCAGGTCAAGCAACCAATCTACATACTAAAAACTTGAACATTCAAAATCCCTTATCATCACATGATAGACTCGCATCAAAGCCATGCATGCCGAAGTAGCTAATGCCTTTCAGCATTTGAATTCATTTCAGACAGAGCACTGTGTAAATGAGACCGTGGTATCGCACAGGAACAATGGAAAAGCTCCAGTGATAACATCTCCAGGATTTTACGAGGTGGTAAAGTTTAGTTTTCTCTCTCCAAGCTCCAGTGATAACATTTCCAGAATTTTACGAGGTGGTGAAGTTTCTTTTTCTCTCTCCAACTTCCCAGTTTTCATTTTCTGCTAACAGATTAGATCTTCCTAATCTGATCTCTCACTTGGCACTACATGTTACAAAGCAACATTGTCGGCTAGGAGAAGAGGCATAATTTAATGATCAGTAATTGGAGAAAGTCATAAAACTACAAACTTTTGAAGCAATATAGACCTTGTACGCGGTGGAGGAATTGACAAATTTTCGTGTTAAACGTACATGCCAATAAAACATGGCTTCTCTGGCAAGAAACCTGTTACTTCATGGATTACATGTTGGAAATTTCATTATCCATTAACTTTCAAGTGGTTGCTCAATTACAGTAGCGTATGGTATGAATTCGTACATTTTCTGCTTTGCAGATTTAAGCCATTTTATCATATAGCTATTAAATACCAAAAGAAGAAAAGGAAAAATGCCAAGTGAAGATGTCAATCTATTCCATGACAAATTGTATTTACAGTATGCACCGAGGGTGCCCCCAAAAAAAAAAAAGGAATCTAGTTCTGCTTTTCCAAAATTGGATTTACCAGATTCTAGCAATTCTGCTAAAACATAAGCTTCCAAATTTGCAATCACGGCTTGTTTATCCTCCTTATGGGGACCTAGAGTTGCAGGTGAGATTGATAAAAATTTCTTCCGTGCATGGAATTGTCAGAGCACCCATAGGCCATACGGTGGTTGAATCCAAACTCTTTTTCAGCCTGGGGTAGCAAGCACCGAAATGAAGGATGGTTAAGGTAATATAATGGGATCACATATCTCTTCCTACGGGCTTCCCCTACATAAACAGCAAAGTGGCCTTTTGGTACATCTTTACCTCCTAAATTAGAAAGAACTCGATTCAAAATCTGCTTAGCATGAAAAATTCGTGGCACGTGAATACCCATTATTCCTGGTTAAAGCTCACTGTGATTGATTCTTGCACTTCGTGGACGAGGTTCTGTTATGTTGGATTTGGTTTGAATGGCAGCAGATATATATAGTACAGGAAGAGAGGAGAAGGTGGTGAAAGATCTTTTGACATGAGAGGGCGGTAAAAAAATACATTTGACATTGAGGTCCACATAAAAAAATAATATGATTTTCTGTTGTTTGATTGCGGTCACCAAGTATCCACTAAGATCACAAACTTTATAGTTGGTCATGGCTGCTGACAGAAAAAGAGGTTCGACACATGAAGATGTTCTTATGATGTAAACTAATAAGTTTCTGAGCAACAAATGGTTCTACAGAGACAAGAAATTAATGTTATGTTCATTGGTGATTCTAGTAGTATTGATGCATACTAGTAAGATAATGAGCATCACATATTTCAGCAGCGACAAGCAACACATTCAATGTTGGTTGATGTTCCCAAATTGCTCAACTAGAAGTCAAGTTATAGTGCATTCTTAACATCATGTTTTATGCACCTGGTTGAGCAGATACAAGTAAGGCATATCATGTTTGTTGATGGTTCTACATATTTAGCCAATTGCTTACACAAGTTGGGTATCAATGTATTCTTGACATAAACTAGTAACACAATGAACATCACACAGTTCTGCGGAGACGAGCGATGCACATCATGTTGGTTGATGGTTCTACATACTAAGGCAAAATGCTTATATACCAATTAAAAAGCTGGGTATCAATGTATATTCTGCTTGTTAATGTATTGGGTGGATTAAATAGCAAAATGGAACTGACCAAGCATGTCTTTCTCAAAAAATAAACTAAAAACCTTGCCATGTCCATACCAGATGGAGATTGGTAATATCTCCTCTCTCAAAAGAAAAGTGGGTAACATGTATATGAGTTAACATTTCAAGAGAACACCCAAAAAAAAAAAATAGTTTAAATGATTTTCAAAAACTGAGAGTGAGCAAGTATGAGCAAAGTGGAAGCGTGAAACTGGGGATTACTGACATTCCTCCTTTCCATAAGGTGACAGCAAGCCCAGCCACATCCTATATTCAGAAAAAATTCAAAAATGTTGAAGTTGCTTTTCTTTCAATTTCAGTTAGCACAAATTTTCTAGATGTAATGTAGCATAGCTACTCCAAGCAGCTTTTGCTTCAGAGATGTTACAATTGAGTGCTTCTGTACTGCAGGCTACATGGGAGTCTCTATTCTTCGACAATGCTGCCTCGCTGAAATGAATTTAAACTCAGTAACGTCCTATCTACTTGTTTGATATGATTTCAACTTCTAATTCCCCGTTGGTATGAAATGAATCGATTTAGCAAGTGGAGAGTTTTCAGTAGGTAGATCGATTGCTTCCTGTGCAACAACAGTAAACTAATATGAACTGTAGTAGGACAAAAAATGAATAAGCCCGAATTCCATTTGGTACTAATTTTCATCCTTCAACATTTACCAGATTTGTAGATTACCTTGAGATGACAGTAAGATTTAGATGGCAAAAAGGTTCATTGGCCTAATAACTTCTGGTGTGCAATCATTGAACCTCAGTCTTGATACTTTGAGTTCAAAAGGGGTCCTCCTTGTTAGATGTTCAAGAAAGTTGTAGGCCCTGCTACACTTCTTGGTTCTAAATTCTTGATCATTAGTTGGGAGGCAAAACCATGTGATAATGCATGACTCATGTCCTGTCTTTAATGTCCGAAGAAAAGCCTCTTTACCACATCAACAAAATGATGATTCTTCCGTATATAAGCTCATAACTTGATTAGCACAGCACAAGTTCTTCATTCACAAACATTATAGAAAGCCTTCTTTATCCTTTAAATCTTTCTATTCATTGTTTGTTTGATTTAATACAAGGAAGCATCCTGTACAACAATGGCTATTCGTCTGCCTCGTATTATTCAAGCTAAGCAAATTCTTAGGCGCTCCATATTGACGTCTAATGCTGCCATTTCAGCTTCTGTAGATGTTCCAAGAGGCTATTTAGCAGTTTATGTTGGAGAAAATGAAAAGAAACGATTTGTGATTCCCGTTGCTTACCTGAATGAGTCCGCATTCCAAGAATTACTAAGCCAAGCCGAGGAAGAGTTTGGTTTTGATCATCCAATGGGGGGTTTGACAATCCCCTGCAGAGAAGACATGTTCATTGATCTCACTTCTCGCTTGAGTAGATGTACGAGTTAACCGAGCTGGCACGCAGTGTTAGACAATAATAGTATTTAGTTGACATAGCAAAGCACAAACTTTGTAATGTAGAGTATGCAGATTGCTTTTGTACATTGCTTTTTTTTCCATGAAAGCAGAGCATTATGACTATTTGAAGCTGTCTGAAACTGCCATTAGTAGAGGAACAAAATACAGCTTCAAAAGAATGATTTATTAATCATACTTATCAGATTCGACCTGCAGCATTCTTCTGTTTAAGAGGAACATTTGCAGAATAACATTCATGATCCATGCTACTCTTCATATTCTTCAAGAAGAAAAGAAAGGTATTAATCAATTAATTGAAAGAATAATTGTTGGCCTAATTGCTAGCACAAGAATTGCTTATGTCTGTGTTTAAGCAACACTATTGTTACGTGTTGATTGGTGGTTAACTTTCCAAGCAAAGTTCTTTTGAAACTTTTGTTCCGCAATAGCATAAAATCTAGGTATTGGACAAGTAGTACTGATCTCAGACAATTTGATTAATGACACATATAATCAAATCTAAAGAGCAGGCAACTTGATTAATGACATATTAATCAACTATTCAGGATAAAGAGAGAAGAGTTTATTTCATAAGAGGATTTATTTCAAGTACTATAAGAGTGAGTTTGAGCAGAAACAAAGGGGTTGATGCAGATTACTAACCTTGCTATACCTCTCTTATGATCTTACGAAAAGCCCTGATGACATCTGAAGAAGATTCACAACCTGTAATAATTACCAAACTTGCAACATCAGTTACATCATAGGTTCATCTGAGTGAAAACAAGCCATGATCTAAAAGAATTGCCCACACAAAAAAAAAAAAAAAAGAAGCCTTCTCCCTTTCTACTGGTAACATGAGGAGCATGGTGTTTATGCAGCTTGAGGCAGAAAGGAAGGCAATTGACAATAAAATTATATGGGTGAATTACATTTAAGGGAAAGCAAGTATTTTACATCAGATTAAAGCACCCACCTTCGTCCTTACTCGAATTTGGAGTATTGCATTTCCAGCTAGATGTGTTAGAATATATATATCTCTCCTACATAAGCCTGGTGCGTATTTTCAATTGTGAGCAGTGTAACTGACCAGTGAAGACTTCTCCGAAAGAATGGGCAAATCCAATCTCTTCTTAAGTGTTTTGCTGCAATATTAGAAGTTTTAGCGGTGGTTAATATCTCCAAGCTTACAAGCTACATTCAAAAGAAGCTCTTGCAGATTGCAGTGAAGTTTGAACACATAAGTAGGAGACAGCTTACGAGAAAAAAATTTGAAGGTCAATCCTCTCAGTCATAGGTTGTCCTCATCTGTTAATGAAGATGTTTTTACAGCGGGTTTTCCACCAAAAATCCTTTTGGGTCCAGAAGATAAACATCAAAAGCCAGGGTTAAGGAAGCAGATTACTGAATAGGCCCCCATTCAATCCACTCAAAATGAGAAGCTGTTGGAAATTGAGGAGAAGATGATGGAAAACGTGCAATGAGATGGGGTTGGATCGATACATAGTGCCTAACGAATTAAGGATGAGTTGCATCCTAAATCAATTTAGCAGGAGGCAGCTCTAAAGAATTTGGATGCAGCAGACAAATTGTTGGTGTCTGTCTCAACAGGGCAATAAAACGGAAATTAAGTACCGATGTTTCACTGTTAGAGAAGACAACAAATTCGAGAACGGACAAGTGCTGCATTAGCATATCTTCAGAAGGAGTTCAAACCAAACCTCCTATTCAATAACAGATGGTGCGAAACTAGGATTACAAAAAGGCACACAAATGAAAGATGTTTTTGACGGCTTAATCGTACGAAACCAGATACTAAGGAACGTTTAGGCAAAATTTAATGGGTTCATATTTTAACATATTGTGTGTTTGGTAGTAAAAAATAGAACAAATATGGTACTGAATTTCTGCAACAGTTACTTCCGAAAATAAGTATTTAATATGATATACACTCAAATATCTCAAATATATCAGATCTAGTACTTAACTATTCAATAATTTAATGAATTCAGACTTCGGATTTCATATATCATATTTCAGTTTTCAAATTTCAATTTTATCAGACGCATCCTAAATGAAGAAAGAACTAATCAAATGTTCGTAAAACAATACAAACACGGTACAATTCCAAATCCAATATTGCAATACCTTTTTGTCACCATAATTGTGTGCACGTTAAGCCAATAATCTAGAAAAGTACATTAAATTTGACATACACAAGCAAATATACAGTTATGACTGGAAATTTTCAGGGAGGGGGATTCGATGTGAATACAGGCTCCAGAAGAAAGCCAATTAAGGCCGCCACATATTGTGGAAAATTTTTGGTCAACCCTTGCCTCCCGTACCACCAAGTTGGTGGTGACCACCAGGGCAAAGGCTTAGTGGCGGAAATTTTCGATATACATGTAAATAGAGTTCTGTTTGAAGGACTAGACATCACTCATCAGAGAATTACGTATGTATAGGACTGCACAAACATACAGTTTCCACTTTCCAGTGCCATCAAAACTGACGCACACCCTAAGATTGAGGTCTAGACAGAACACTGGCTTTTTTGTGAATTGCGATTGTGTTGCATTACATCTGCAAATATTATCAGACTTCCAAATCAGAAACAAAGAACAGGTTCTTAAAAGCAGACATTCATGCATCAATCTACTTGTAGAATTCCAACACCCAAAGGTCAAAGAGTCGACATTCGACTCTTATGCCTCTAAATCCTGCTTTAGTAGCCAAGGCCCGAAATTCCAGCTCTGATCTCTCCTTTGCACCGGGGGAACAAACAGCCATCATGAAAAGATCAATTTGCATATTGCTTTTGGCAGCTGCATCGCTATTTTCAGGATTCACAGGAACGATTGCATCGACAACAATTACCTTTCCATCATTTGGTAAAGCCTTGTAGCAATTCCTCAGCAACTTCACGCAATGCTCATCATCCCAATTATGAAGTATCCACTGCAATGATTAGATACCCCAGAAAATCATCGTGTCACCAAGGGAAAAAAATAGAAAAGAAAAATACAATTGCATAAGCACGAAAAAAGAATTGTAAGAAAAAAAAAATAACCCTTTAATTTCATGCACATTGTATAAATTCTTGATATTTCAACTTACCTTCATAAAAATTGCGTCCGCTTCTGGAACACTTTCAAACATATCACCACCCTTATGCTCAATCCCTGCAATTTCACACGTCTCTAACTCAATTGCAAAAGGTATGTATGGCTTTCATGGATTTTGTAGATCAGAATCTAAAACTCATGCAGAAATGTGAAAGCAAAAGACTCAATCAAGCATGACTTCTTCGAACAAGAATAATTTAATGTTATTACAAACTCAATGAGGTCTTGACTGGTAAAAGAAAGAATGCACTTTACTTAGTAAGTGCCATTTATTTCGATTTGTATCCTAAGTAATATTCAATTAATCATATGCAGAATCTCTATGGTCACCCCGAAAATCAATACATGAAGGATAAATGATATTATACATACCAGGGTAGGATGGGGCAAGCTCAATAACATGTGGCAAGTCAAAATTAATGCCCTTAATGTCGGGGTATTTAGATGTTATCATATGGATGGCTTGTCCAAGAGCACCACCCACATCAACTAAGGTTTTGAGATTTTCAAAACCCTTGTAGCACTCGAGGGCCTTTTCTAGGACCACCTTTGTATGGCAGCTCATTGCCTTATCGAAAGCCTCGTTGTACGTGGGATCTTTTGTCATATACTCGTATAGCGCACAGCCATGAGTCCTCTTGAATGCATTTCCTCCTTCCAGAACTGAAGCTTCTAATTGATACCTGAAATTGATCCAAGTTGTATCTCAGAATCAAATGGGGGAGTGCCATTAGTTGAATAGTTTAGAATACTATACTAGTGGCAAGTTAAAATATAGCCTTAAAGTAATTGCAAAATTTGAAGTGTATATAATTGTTTATTCCTTGTTGCAAAAATATATATATGAAGGAAGAAGTTGCATTTTACTCATAGCTCCTCATTTTATAGTTGGCCTCATAGACGTAATTTTGTCTTCTTAATCAGTAAATTGTTGATGTTCCTCGATATATCAAATTTAAAATGAAGAAAATAAGGCCTTTAACTGCTATATAAGAAGCATTTGATCATCCTTAATTAATAGAGTGATGAAGTCTTGGATAAGAATCTACAATGCACTAGAACGCCCTTGTTGACGATCCTTTACTCCGACAGCATCTTAATTAATAGAGTGATGGCGTTGTATTGAGACAAAAAACCTTTCATTAGAAACCTAATTTTTGTTTAGACCTTTTAATATCTTTATGATCTAAGATGTACCTAAGGTTTGAATAAAAACAAATATTTGATATTTATAATTTTGAGGAAAGTCGTCCCAAAACTTTGAAAAGGGCTAAATATGAACCTTTCTGTGTCCAATTTTGAACAAAAAGGGAAAAATAAGAAAATCTTGCCAAGTAGTGATGGTGAGAATCATGTCAACATTAGTTAAAACAATAAAACTTAAAATCTAGAATTGTCTGCACAAATTACTTCCCCTTTTTTAACCAAAAGAAAAAAATCAATCATTTTTCAGTATTTGCAAACTAGAGTTTCAAGTAACATTAATATGAAGTGAGACATAGGTAAATAACGACTTTACGATGGATTTTAAAATAATAGAGTCAACATTATTGTTGTCACTATTAGCAATTATACAAAAAAAAAAAATTTATAGTATACATTTTCTTTTTTGGTAGAAATAGGAAACATTGAGATCCAAATTTGGTAATATACATTTCCTCTTTTTGGTGTTTACTACTCAAGTTTTCCTGAGGCATGGTCTATAATTTAACAAATTGGATTTGACTGATCAGAAACAAAATTTGCAAATGTACCAGGAGTCCATCAGCAGTTTATTTTGAAGGTAAACCGAAAGCTGCCTCAGGGTTGCCCCATATTGGTGTTTGATAAAGTATTTGGCAACTGGTGCCAACCCATATCGTCTTTCATGATGAGCACCGGCACCACCATCAACGACCGAGCAAGTCAAGACCGAGTAGCCGGCTAGGAGGCGAAGCATCCGGTCCAGAAAAACAGGTGCATCAGGGTTTTTTGTGGGCATTTGGGATACAATCTCGGAGGGTGAAAGTTTTCCACCAGGTCCAGCTTTTGCAATGATTTCCAGCACATCCAGCTTTACGGCGGCGTTCAGCACCATCGGCACTGTCATCATTGTCATCAGCTGCATGGCGTAGGAGAACCATTGCTCTTCTTCTTCTTCTTCTTCTTGTCCACTTATGGTATGTTGGCTTTCTACCCGGCAAGACTCCATCAACGATCTTGAATTTTTTAGTGATGAAATTTAGGTATGGCAATGGCAGCACTGAAATTGTCTGATTTAATGAGCAGCTGTTTTAAATTTTACTAATTGATAGGATATGTTTCCCAACCAATTCTTCACGTCAAATATAACTTCTTAGTACATCAATAATTGTAATGGACGCAGGGCGCACACGGTTGTGAATAACAACAGCTCGGAATAATATAATATTTTTTAAATAAAGTGTAACTCTACATAAACTACTTGTAAAACTTTATAACAGAGGCACAATTATTACATATGAAACCAACATGAATAATAACAAAAAATCATTTTTCTGTTGTAAGAATATACAAGAAGTTTACATAGCATTATAAAATCTTTAAAAAATGATGCACTGTTCAGGTCAACTGTTCCTGCCCCCATCCCAATTGTAATATATTCTTTCCTTTTTTAGATATATGTAATCTTCTTGTACCATTTATTTGTCAAACTATGAAAGATTTGATTAACGAGTGCTAAATGAACACATATTAAGATTTTTGAAGTATTAACCTTAGAATTAATCTTTTCTACAATAACAGTGTGTACACGTACTGTCAATTTTGGATAAATGATAATTGTACAGAATTTGAATTTGAAATCTAACTTTTACATATATGTCATAAATTTAACCGTAAGTGTACATAAGATTTACTCTTAATCTTATAATTAAGTTAATTCAGAAAGTATCGAAATGCAAAGGGTACAATAAATGTGAATATTGTCTTGATATAGTAAATTAGGTATAATTTAAATATACTGACAATTGCTCAGTTGATAATTATTGGGCAAATCCAACAATGAATCCGAATCATAAATTCCTTGGACACATGGTATGGACACTTATAGAAGCAATGTATTAATGTTGGTTGTACAATGAAGCACAACTTTCTAATAATAAAAAGGGGCAAAGTCGAGATATCCACTTATCCATCCATATAAACGATCATTATATGGATGGATTATCCATATAATTCATGTATATCCAATTAGTAGAACAAAACGATAAAAAAGACACAACTGTATTAACTCAGTCATAAGCTGAAACCGTCTCTTTTTTACTCTTTTCCTCTTACAAAAGTGGGACCTCGGGACATTTTTCATTAAGGAAGCATAGAAAAATCATCAACTAATGTCAAAGTCATTTTATTTTTATTTTTTAAAAAAAGTGGCAGCTAATTTGTTTGTTGAGAGAGAAATTGTAGATGGCCCAGCAAAATAGCATGGTATTACATGTCTCTGTTCTCAACACATAAATTAGAGAATTTTCCATAGTTGAAGAGGAAAAAAAGCATACACTCTATTCATTTTCATTTCATACTTTGTTTAGGCGACATTGCATTGAATTTATAAGTATTTACATAAATCATAAGTTTGTAGCATCATTATTTCATCTTTTTCATCAAATTTTTTGAGATTGGGATTACCAACGAAGATACATAAATTTTTGGAATATAAATTGCTATGCAGATTTGGATCCTAAATTTAGGACTTGGGCGAGTAAATGGTTAAATGGATGAATCATGGTTTTGTAGTATCCATTTAAATGGCATCTAATTAGATCCATTTATTAAATGGTTCTAATCGGATGGGATCAATTTTATCCACAATACATTTAACTATAACCATTTATCCATTTTGTCACTTCTAGTCTTCGATCACAACTTTAATACAATAATAACTTCTTTTATTAGCACTAAAATTCAAGCAAAGTGTAGATTTAAATTGAGAGAATATGAATTTAGCTTCTTCTTTTCTTTTTTTTCCTTTTGTTCATAAAATGTGCCCATCATCGACATTTTATTTTGCTGATCACATAGTAGGTGAAGGAGAGCCAAAGCAGGATATGTAAGAGAGGACGAACCAGGGGAGGTAAAACAAAAGGAAAAAAAAAAACAAAATAGTATTCTAATTTCCTTGAAATTTCTTTTAAAAAATTTAAAAATAAAAGGGATGAAATTTAAGAAGTAAAAAAGAGAAAGGAGGATTAAAGCACATACTCTACCACGCGCAGTTGTAGCAATGATAGTATCGGCCCTCAATAGGAGAAGCCCATCTCTTAAAATTCCACATCGTAGTTCGATGTTTTTTCTTTCACCTTACAAGATGTATATATTTTAGGTAGAGCAATGAGAAGTGTATGGGACAAAATATCCATACAAATGAAATATCCAACCAACAACCACACAATGTGGACCACTCTGAACGTCTCCCCTTCCCTACATTTAAATATATAGTTATCAAATCGTCTTTAATTTTTTTTTTCTGTTGTTTTTCATACAAATACTGAGCACATAAAGAATATGGGGATAATTTCATAAACATCCTCTAAGGTATCTGGCAATTTTACTGAGCTTTTGTTAAGATTTTAAAAATTATACATATTTTTTCTTAATTTGACACTTTTAGGAACCAAACTTTAGACTTGGTCAAAAATTAAAATGAATGTTCCAAAATACACTCGCCTTATAAAGTTCGATTGCTCTCTAAAGCAATAACAATATGTTTAGCCCACATATATTTAAAATATATATATATATATTGTCGAGTTTTCAATATCAAATTTATTGTTTAATAAGCAATTATGATAATAGTTTTACTACTATGACAAAATATTTTTTTTCAATACCAAATTTATTCTTTCTAAATTAGAGAAGAGTGCGTCGTCATAATGCTTTTAGAGTTGGTGGCTTTTCAGATTCGTGAAACTATCATAATGCTTTACAATAGCAGTTTTGAATCTTTGTTTTTTTTTTTTTTTGGAGTTAGTATTGCTTTTAATACCAAAAAAAAAAGAAAAAAAAAGGATTGACAAATAAAAATTGGATCACATTAAAAGTTCTTCATAAAAATGTCACTAGCTTAACATCTAATTGGGACGTCTAATTCTCGAACTCTCAACCTTAACTGTTAGATCAAAACCTTCTTAAGCCGTTGTGAAAAAATGACATATAAATGTGATAAACGACCAGTTTTTATGAATTTCAAGGTGAAATATCAGCCACGTTCCCCAATTTCTCTTTCGTGGGAAGGTACAGAACCTGCAAGTTTTCTCAATTTATTAAAGAAACATGTTTTCACGAAATTTTTCCTTAAACTGCAGGCTATCTCTTTATCTAGGAGGCACTCCAAAAGAAGTCTCTGTGGTGCACCATACTGGTGTTTAATCAAGTACTTGCCCACCGATGTCAAGCCATAACGTCTCTGATATTGACCATCGGAGCCACCAGCCACGACGGAGCAAGTGAAGACGGAGTAGCTGACAAGTTGTTGATGCCTATGCAATAATAAAAATAATCTTAATTGCCAATTAAAGTAATCAAAATCTGATTCTAAATACTGGAGCAGGAATTCTAGGTGTGCAAATGGATTACTTAATTCACCCTGTTCTCGAAAAGTTTGCTTAATTCACCCTTCTTAAGCCGTTGTGAAAAAATGACATATAAATGTGATAAACGACCAGTTTTTATGAATTTCAAGGTGAAATATCAGCCACGTTCCCCAATTTCTCTTTCGTGGGAAGGTACAGAACCTGCAAGTTTTCTCAATTTATTAAAGAAACATGTTTTCACGAAATTTTTCCTTAAACTGCAGGCTATCTCTTTATCTAGGAGGCACTCCAAAAGAAGTCTCTGTGGTGCACCATACTGGTGTTTAATCAAGTACTTGCCCACCGATGTCAAGCCATAACGTCTCTGATATTGACCATCGGAGCCACCAGCCACGACGGAGCAAGTGAAGACGGAGTAGCTGACAAGTTGTTGATGCCTATGCAATAATAAAAATAATCTTAATTGCCAATTAAAGTAATCAAAATCTGATTCTAAATACTGGAGCAGGAATTCTAGGTGTGCAAATGGATTACTTAATTCACCCTGTTCTCGAAAAGTTTGCTTAATTTAATATACCAGAATGGGATTGCTTATTCACGAAAATTTATTGATTTGTATAAAGGGCAAACATGATCGTCTCCTCAGGGTCGTCTTCTCAAGTCAAGCAGGGTGGTCTCCGCACAAAGTTGACGAAACAGTGGCAGCCATTGTCCTTGATCGGGAGAATTCTATACGTTCGAATAATGAAGAAAAAAACGAAGCTACTGCCAATGATTCCTTGGTTTCAACCTTTTCCTGACATACGAGAGGAGAAAACTACTAAAAGACGAAAAGGAAAAGTAAAAAAGTAGTAACTACCTTCTTCTCCATTGTCTGCTATCTAATTCCTACCGCCCTCTACTATTGCGGCGCTCCAGAGGAGAAAAGGAAGGCTACTGGTCTTGTTTCATCTCCTCTCTCTTCGGCAATTACCAAAAGCTTTTCGATTATTATAAAACTCTGCCCAGATGGAATGAGCTTCTCTTCTTTACTGCTCACTGCTCAGTGTAATATGTAAATACGTACAAGGTGCAAGATTGTAAGTATTTGGTTTTTAAATATACTGTTTGGATTGTAAGTTATTTGGGATTATTTGGGATATTTTTACTGTAGCACTTTTTATGATGTGATGTATGTGAGATGAAAAGATATTGGGAAGATAAAAAGGTGTATTAGAAATTGTAAAGATGATGTAAGCAAATAAAATTGGAGAAATATGAAGCAATCCAAACAAACCCTATAGTTAAGAATTGTTTGTGAAAATGATGTGAAATATACACTAAAAAAGATAATAATGTACTAATAAATGAAGCATAATTGGAGTAAAAAGGTTATATGATGTCCCAAAAAAAAAAAAAAAAAAGAACAAGAAGAAGAAGAAGAAGAAACTGGGCAATAGCCAATAGCCAACAAACTCTCAAGAATCTTTCACATCCACAAAGTCAAATTTGTAAATTTCACTAGCTTTTGGCACTAGCCGACAATAACAGAGTCAAAACAATTAAGAAATGGGATTAGTGAGTCAGAGAATTAGTGAAAACATAAAGAAAAACATAAATGAATTAATCAAAAATTGAATGATTCAAAGTTTGATTCTTGTATCTGATAGTTGGGGATGAAATTGGTTAAAAAAAAAACCCACAACTATGAGTACTCATCTTACATTCTCCCTTTAGGATCCAAATCCTATATTTACAACCATAGTATACAACCACAGGATCGTAAAGTCTCCATCCATCCATAAGGTTTTCGTGCTCTATCATTATAGGATGAATATAGATTTTGAAGATGGAAGTGTACTTACATAAATTTTAAACAGCCAAAAGGAACTAATAAAACACCAGTCAAATCACGGTGGCAATTGGCAAATCACCAGTTCACCAAACTGGAGCCATAGATGCGGAGGAGGAATTGGGGCCGCCATGAAAATTGTGGGACTTGATATGTTCTCCAAGTTGGATTCTGGTTTCTTTTTTTTTTGAACAATATGATGGATGTTTTTTGGGATTTTTTGACCATAAAATATTTTGTATAGCACATTTGTTTCTAAATACGTAGGTGAAATAAAAAGAAAGGTAAAGGAAAATCATACTCCCTCCATTCTATTTTGATCATCTTGTTTTTCTTTTTCATCCGTCTCAAATTATAATCCACCTTTCAATTGAAGAATATATTTAACTTTTAACTTCTCTAAAATTTCGTTATTTAATATACTTCATTATCAATGAATATAATTTGTCTTATGTAATAAAGTCAATTTTTCACTAATAATTGTTTTCATATATTCTTGAATGGTGCAATATATCATTATTATTATAATTAATGTAAAAGTATAGTAATTAGTGATACTCCAAATATTAATATAAAGGTACTTTAGAAAAACATTAGACTAGATTTACTTTTTCAACAAAATGGTAACTAATTTTGTCTAAACTGAATGAAAAAAAAATTAAAACTATTAAAGTATGACGAAAGAAGTATTTAAATTTTTCTAGGAAACATGTCTTCAAAAAAAATAGGGTAAACAACAAAAAAACCCCTATGGTATAACTATCTTACAGCAAAATCCCCTATGATTTCAAATCATACGTGTTGATACATCATGGTTTGAAGTAATTTCAACATTGATGAAAATCATTAAAACAAACGGTTTTAAGTGAAATGACAGAAATGCCCTAATAAGCAAAAAATAGCCTAAAACAAACGGTTTTTTATTCATTAGTTTCATTCACTAATAATATAAGCAAAAAATGCCGATTTCTACAAGTTTGGAGCAAATTTAAAGAAGAATCATGATTGTTTTATTAAGGTATGAGGGGCAAAATAAGTATTTCAGGTCAAATTTTGCATTAAAAATATTTTTTGGAAGAACCATGCACATTTCTAGCGCATTTACATCACACATGTTAAATATAACGATTTTCGTTGATTTTTCACTTTACTTCAAACCATGAGATACCGATGTATATGATTGAAAACTATAAAAGACTTTTTTATAAGATAACTAAACTACATGGGACTTTTTTGGTGTTTGCCCAAAAAAAATTATGCCCACACAATCGGAGCCAATGTATACTGAATCTGAGACATGAGTATTTAATTTAGCATACCACAAACACTACTCATGTTGAGCCCCAAAAATTTACACGAAGCACGCGCACATGCATAACGAGATATGACAGCGGGGCAGCAAATCTTATTCGGCAGAACTACCCCTTTTATTTCCTGGCTCAGATCCCCAGAATCGACCCTATGCAATAATTGGCTGGAGAATTTGAGTGTGTTTGACTTGATTTTTTCTGAAAAACAGGCTGCGTTTGGATTGAGTGTTTTTGCACCTGTTTTTGAAAAACTGTTTTTCACATTCCAAATGCTACAGTAAATTTGTATTTAAAAAACAACTTCAAAAACACCATATCCAAACAATATATCAAAAACAACTCCAAATATATTTCAATTATGTATATTTAATTTGTATATTTTAATAAGTATATTTTAATAAGTATATTTTAATTATGTATTTTAATATGTATATTTCAATTATATTTTAATATGTATATTTCAATTATGTATTTTAATATGTATATTTCAATTATGTATATTTTATATATTATATTAATATAAATATATTTATTTCAATTATGTATA